AGCTGGGTTTCCCCTGGTACACAGCAGGCACACCAAAATGAGATTTCCTTCCCTGGGTTGCCCTGTACCCCTCTTACTTTCTCTTTCACCCAAATCATCACAAAGTCAAATGGCCAATCTTTTTTCAGAAGCATGCACACTCAAGATTTGGAGAGGTGCTAGTGGAGCTGAAACAGTGGCCACCAGGTGGTTTTCATTCATAGAAAATTTGAGAGGGTGGTGCTGATCTCATTGCTTATGACTATGAGTCAATCAATAAATGTTTCCTGAGTGCTTAGAAGAAAAAAAAGAAATAGTTTCAACAGATGGTCCACATTGGACCTTACCCAGAAACTGGGGGAGGGTCAGATGCAAAGGGAGCATCTTTGAATGACTGGGCCCAGTACTAGTTTCCATCCACTTCCCTTTCCTTAAGCAAAGAAACTAACCTGTGGGCAGAGGCACAACTACCGTCTGACCTTGTACAAGTATCACAGCTCATTGCACTTCAGTTTTCTCAGTTGTCAAATGGAGTTGTGAGGAGTTGATGAGGTTCTGTTGCAAAGTTCAAGGCACAGCTCCTAGGACCCAGTAAGCCCCCAGTAGTACATGTTAGCTCTTGCTATTTAGGTGTCTGTTATGTGGCAAGCCCAGTGGTAGGTATTTTACCGAGTCATTTCAACCCTCACAACAGTCCTGTGAAATCGATCTTGTTAGTTCCATCTGCGGAGATGGCCGCACAGGGGTGAAGCCCGTGTTCAAGGTGAAGCAGGAGTGAAGGTGCCAGAAGCAAACCAGGTCGGCCTGACTTCAAAGCCAGTGCCATCCCTGTGGTTTCCAGAGTAAACAGTGCTTGAGCAGGCATCTCTGTGTAAATGGGACTGGAGCCACCAGGCTAAACAACTCCCTGCTCCATGCAGTACAGGGTAATTCATATCCACTGAGTAAACAGACTGTTCTGGGCAAGAGTTCCCTTGTGTCAACCCCTGTTCTAGGAATTTTCAGTATATACATTGGAGCCCAACCAAAAATTCAGTGTGAGGCTGATCTTTCTTGAGATCCCTCCCAAGGGGCTTAGCTAATAATAAACTGAAAGGACCTTCCCATGAGGTGCCTCCACTCCTGAGACTTTCCCTTGACATCTCCCAAGAGATGACTTTTAAAACAGCTCTGACATACCTCAGTCCCCATGTCTCCAGGGAGTTCGAGGGCCACAGCTGCCCCACCCTGTGGGCTCCCTGCTTTGACCTGTCCCTCCTTGCCCCCTGCCCCCTTGCCTGAAGTAGATGTCCTCCTCTGTGTCTGCAGAACGCCCGTGCAAGCGCCTGTTAGAGCAGCTTGCACACTCCATTTGCCCACATCCTTGCCTCTCTTCCCACCCACCTGAGTGCAGAACACTATGTCCTGCTCACCTTGTAGTCCCAGAAATTGTCTCACTTTGCAGAGCAGTAACAGTAACCACGGCATTATCATAGTTGACATTTACTGGGTACTTTCTATGTGCAGGTACTATTGTGAGCCTCACTGTAAAGGTAAGGAAACTGAAACACAAAAATGCTTTATTTCTAAAGTCACAAAACCGTAAGTAGGATAGCTGGATCTGAACCTATGCAGCTTGATTCTAGACCCATGCTTCTAACCAGTTTTCTGATGTTTCCATGCGGTAGATGCTTAATTATCTGACATTTGCGAACGAATACACATGTGGGTATAATAGCTGTATTTTGAGAAATGTGGTATGACCCATTACTTAAGTCTGTGCAGTAACAAGCTGTGTTACAATGGAGCTCTTCTTCCGAACTTTCTGCACCAGTTCTGCAGTTCTTTGCCTCTGCATGCCTGCTCTGGGGAGGCAGCACAGAGCCACGCGTGTGAGCACAACTTAGATGAAGGTACAAGTTCTGGCTCTACCACTGACGAGCATCACTTTTGTGGGCGCTTTGCTCATTCTTAGTGTTACTTTCCTCAACTGGAAATGGAAATAATAACAGTGCCTACTTCATACAGTCAACTTAAAGGAATTAGTAGTATAAAGGGAATAAAATGTCACCATTTTGGAACACAGTCATTTAACAAGCATGAGCAGGTCTAGTTACTGTTATCACTGTTGTCGCAAATGTTTGTTTTTAAAACTTTATTATCGAGAGCACTACTTCCTATCCATGGACAAGGAGTTCTGAGCCAGGGCGATACTGAGTGATACTGCTTGGTCTCAAGTCCAAAGTCACCAAACTCTGGACAGTATTTTGATCCACGGATTCCAGAGGCCTGCAGAGCATTGCAGATTTAATGGAGTCTTTGTCCATGACCCACATCTTTGTCCCGTAGTTTGCACTGGGAGGTTTCAGTAGCCTGGGCAGAGAAGGGAACCGGGGATGTCCCCTGTCTGTACCAGCCATCTGATGCATGGCGGTCACCAGGTGGAGTGGACAGCTGTGAAACAAAGGCTGTATGACAGAGACCAAATACCTAACATCCAACGAGAGTTGCCATGTATTGTACATTTGGCAATGAACTTCATACATGGTAGAGAATCATTTATTCATTCAGCAATATTTATTGAACCAGGCAGTGTTCTACAGGGAAAGTCCTAGATATTCAGGTTTTTTGTACTTCACGTGTAGTATCTCCATCAGCAGAGGAGCCACACACTGTGACGCAGATCTTACCATTCCTGTTTGATAGATGCGGAAGCTGAGGCTCGGAGAGGTTCAACACTGTACCTCTAGGATTGAATCCAGTTCTTCCCGATGCTGAAGTCCATTCTTTAGCCACAGTATGATATTGCCTATCAAGGAAATAGCAAATGCTGGAATCCTGTGCATGTACACATGTGTGCACCTGTGTGTGGGGGGGGGGAGGGGTGGTAGAGGTGTTTGTTAGTTCAGAAATCTAAGTAGTTGTCATCATGACACAGCAATAATTGTGATCAATTTGCAAACTGCAAGAAGCTCTGGTTTAGCTTCTTGTCTTGAGCTCAGTGTATCGTTTCACTGCTTTCGGTCAAAATCAGTGTGTCCTTGGCTGTCCTCAACAGAGAGAATCTGTGTGCTTAGGTTAATATGCAGGTAGAAGCTCTGAGACCCAGTGGTTCATTCATAGGTATGCCTACTGGGTGCCCTGCAGAGCCTGGACATGGCCAGGGGACACCACACCCACTGAGACGTTGTCTGAGCCCAGGGAGCTGGTGCTCAAATGTCAGTGACTCTGCACAGAAAGTGAAATGCACCGCTCTGTGCAGGGCTGTGGGTTTTGGGGCCCAGGGCCAGTCGGCCTTTTGCATGCCTGCTCCCCATGGGCTAGGAAGGAAGTTTCAGAGGCAGCATTTCAAATGCCACTGAAAAGGAGGAGGTGGGAGGGCAGTCAGACATTGCAGTGGAGCATAAAGAGCCCAAGAGTACTGCTCTGTTCTGGGTCAGGATCTTTGTGGCCTCATTTTGTTTCCAAGGGATGGATGCTGTTGTTTCTGGGCAGCACAGCCACTGCTTAGCATTACAGGGCTACTTACTCAGTCTGTCATTTCTGAAGCTGTCCCAGTGGACTCTGATCCCACTGATGTAACCTCACAATGCTCGGGCAGTGCAGTCAGGTGGGAAGGACGTTGCAGTGGGACATCAGAGGACCCGGATTCTGGCCCTGGCTCTGCCCCAGCTGGCGGAGGGGCTTGGACAAGTGCCTTCACTCCTGGGCTTTCCTTTCTTTACCCAGAAAGCAAACCGGGTGGAACTGGACCGTGGTGTTTCCTGTGATTTCTTCCGGCTCTGAAATCGTGTTTGTTAAATGAGTATTTGCAACCTTAATGTGTCCTTTTCATTCTTACATCCTGTCTTTAAAGCCATGTTTTCTGCTCCTTAAGTACAGCGTTCTTTCTTTTGCTTCAGTGCCCGTGGGGCTGGTCCTTACTGTTGGTACTTACTGTTATTTTAATGAATGGCTGTACTAGGAAATCATGAATGAATGAAACTACTGTCACATGCTGGTGTAGCTTCCAGAGTTTGATTAATCGATTTCTAACTATTGCTGCTGCTATTGTAATTATATGTTCTGTTTTCTAAAAATTTGGAAGAGTGTGCATTGGGATTTGTAACCACCTTTTTTTAATAACGAAATTCTTTCTCATATTAATAACATTCACTTATTTTAATGATGGTGTCCTGTCTTATTATAGGGCTCACAGTAGTTTATTCACTCAGTCCCTTAGTCTTACACATTGGCCCACTCAAGTTTTTCCATATTATAATTTATTTTAAAAATAAAATGTATTGCTTTTGTAACAGGAAAAAATGTGTCTGATAAATAAGGCCGGCCCATGACACTGTGGGTCTGGCCTGCGCAAGCGAAGTGATGCTAGGACGGCGACGGGAGGGCGTGTGCCATGCCAAGTACGGGCAGCCTCCGCTCCCTGCGTGCAGAGACACGGTCCCCATCAGTTACACTGCCACTTCCCTAAGCCCAGAGCAATGTCCCTTTTCTTTCTTGAACAGAAGCAGAAGAGAATGTGAGGCCAGGTCCTTACAGGAAGAGGATCCAGCCAGAGATGGGAGGCCTGCGCGGAAGCTCCCCTCTGCTGTCTGGCCCCAGAGCAAGAGCTTACACTTCCGGACCTAGCTTTATTTTTCTGTGCATGAGAATATCAGTGCTGTTGCTAGCACTGCCTGCCCATTCACCTCTGGTTTGGAAGATAGAAACAGGAGGTTGTGAGCATCAAATGAAACCATAGGTAAAAAGTTGATTTGAAGCATTAAAGTAAATGTCACAGAATTGAGTTGTTGGAAATATGGTGTCACTGGTTTCCGTGTATCATTCACCTCTGGAGCTGAACATATCTAGAGTTAACAGTGCTTTTTGAGAAAATCCTTACCTCACACACCACCACTATTAAGAGGGAGCAAAAGCAGTAATTCGACCCTCAACTCTTTTCATGCTTTTTATTTTTAATGTTTGCCAGATGTAGACTGGCAGTGAGCCCAGAGGGTGAACACCTTCTCATAGATGGAGTTTTGTTCTTGTCTCCTTTCTAGATAAAGAGTTCTTAAAGGAAAAGGAGAAGTTAGAAATGGAGTTAGCGGCAGTGAGGACTACAAGCGAGGACCACCGGAGACACATTGAAATCCTGGACCAGGCTCTGAGCAATGCCCAGGCCCGGGTCATCAAGCTGGAAGAGGAGGTGAGACGGGGCAGGAGGGGTTGGGGTGGAGGAGGCAGAGCCCTGGGGGCCTCCATTTCCTTTTTCTAAGCAAGCGTCTATAATCAGAGCCAACTGCAAGGAGCTGAGTCAGGGGGAGGGATAGAGGAGACCTCCCAAATAAAAATTAATAAAAATAGAGTTGATCCAACCCGGAGCCAGGCGAGTATGAAAGGCAGACATGAATACATACCATCAGCAAAGGGCTTACTCCACCTCAAGCCCAGCCTGCAGCCCATGAGTTGGTTAGTATCCAGGGCTAGAGATAAGTGAAAGGACTTAAAGAAAAGAGACTAACATTTTTTTAATCATTCAATAGCTCTGTCTTTGGACTCTTGATTACATTAAAAAGGCAGAAGTCCTCTGATAGGGGTGGGGTAGGATGGCCTTCGACACACCTGTCTCCAGTTTTCGGAAGTTGGCTCAGCCGTGCAATGACCTGCTGCCCACCCCCACATACAGGACAGTTTGGTCCTGCTTAAGCATTAGGGATTAGTAGTTCCTGATAAAACTGACCATTTAAATTGCTCTGTAAGGTAGACCTTTCCTTTAAGCCTGACTGTGGAAGTAGAATGATGACTTCTGAGGTCAAAGCCTGGGGATTCAGGCTGTGGACAGTGTCAGAAAGGGAGGACAGGTCCACCTGAGCAGGAAGCAGGGGCCCCGAGTCTGGGAGGCGCACGCCCCAGGGGGTCAACACAGAGTGCTCCGTGTGGTGCCTGATAGGCAGTGAAAAGAGAATTGTTATCAATCTAGCTGTTGCTGCAATTTTTGAAAGTCAAAAGCTGTTCCTTCAGAAAACATGATGCCAGGTAACTCAGTGTCTCAGCAAACTTTAGCTTCAAGGTTAAAGCAGCTAAAGGGGAAGATTGTGGAGTCTACAAGGGTCTTTTCCACTAGAAGCTGTTTAAACTCCGTAAGTCTTGTGTAGGAACTATAGTTTTAGTGCTAGTACAGTCTGAGGAATCTCAGGGCAACAACCCCGGAGTATCTTTCTTGTCCCTACTGAGGAACTCATTACACAGAAAACATTTGCCACAGAAAGTGACCTTTGCCCTGGCTGGTGTGGCTCAGTGGACTGAGCACTGGCCTGCAAACCAAAGGCTCACTGGTTTGGTTCCCAGTCAGGGCACACGCCTGGGTTGCAGGCCAGGTCCCCAGTTAGGGGTGTGTGAGAGGCAACCACACATTGATATTTCTCTCCCTCTCACCCTTCCTTTCTCTCTCTAAAAATAAATAAATAAAATCTTGAAAAAGAAAGTAACTGTAGCCCCTGAAGGACAGGTGGCCTACTATGAGGACAGGATCTCTTATTATTTTTATAACCGAAATCACTTTTTGATGCTCCTTCTCCATGTGTGGATTGAAGGAAGATAATAAATAATTTAATCTTTTTGTTTTAGTATTTCTATGGAAGTAAAAGTTGTGAACTCCTTGAAGACAGGTTCTTTATCATTACCATTATGGATCTTTTCTTGTCATTATATTGATGTAAGATCTTTGATTGTGTGTAGCCTTTCCAAGATGTCTCAGGTGTCTGGCTTCCAGGGCTCTCCTGGTTCTTATTCATGTTCCTTTTGAAGGGCCCTTTTCCATCCAGATGGCTTGTATGGTGTGCTTGCCACAGCCTCCCAAGATGGCTTAGACTTGGAGCCAGAATATTGTGAGTTACAGTCGTGACCCCAGAGTGGATGCATCAGCTCTCTGACCTTGAGGAGTCACTTTACCTCTTTAGTCTACAGTTTTCTCATCTCTTAAATGGAGATAATAAAGCAGTTTGCCTTTTACTATTGGGAAGATTAATTGAAATACTACATATAAAGCACAAAGAAAGCTTGGCATGGTGGTGCTTCAAAAATGTTGGATGATATAATTATTGTTGTTAATCATCATCATAATATATTCTTTGCTAAACTTAAGGCTGATACAAAGGTAAATGAGAGAGATCTATGCCTTCAAGAATCTTGCAGCTGATTAGGGATAATATGAATTCATTCACTTAAGTGTTTATTGAGTATCTCCTCAGTAAGTGCCAGATACTGCTCCAGGCATTGGGGACACCCTGTGCACTGCCCAACAAGGACCAGAACAGACCAGTCTCATGGCTTTTATATTTTAGTGGCCACACGCTTAGACAGTTATATACAATCTAGGGTGTATCAATGGTATATGAATGGTACTCACAGAACACTTGATCGGATAAGACTTTTAGAATAGGAACCTGCAGTTAGTAGGTCCTCAAGTGCCTATTAAATTAAATCAAGCAATCAAAATACAATGAATGAAAGAGCCAGATGAAAATGGATCCCAGTAGCAGGTATAAAGAAGGCTATAAAGCTGCTGTTTTTTCCGCCCCCCACCCCTCCCTTTCACTCCGGTGGCTCTGGCTAGGATACAGGCACAGCTCACAGCAGTGCGGCCTGCTCAGTCAGAACTGCCCGCCCTTCACGGCAAGCTCCCCAGTGACTAGCATGTCCGCTTGCCGGTACAGTCATGGCCGAACCCAGGATCTGAGCCACCTGCACAGCAGCTGCACGCCCAGATGCAGAATGACAGGAAATAGCATCCCATATCTTCTCACTCAGGACCAGAGAGGTACATGCCTCAGCCTAATTTTGGGCATCAGCCAGTTTCCAGAAAGGTAGAAGTGCACCAGGGACTCATAACCATGACGTAGGCTCCTGACTGAAAGAAAACAAAGTTTGAGGGTGAGAACTTGAAGTTGTTCATTAGGATTCTCAACCCACACTGGATGTGACATTGACACAGATTATTTTTTCCTTAATTTCCATCTCAGTGACTGTGTTGAGTGTTCATTTATGGCCTTCCTGTCTGTCAGCTACTTGTCTTAAAGACTTAAATCTTCAGAAGAAAGTTACTCTCCAAATATCTAGGATAAGAAATGTGTGTATTTATTCACCCATACACATGGACACACACGCATATACGGACACACAGTTCTCTGTTATAATAGTAATTTATAATTATTGTGGAAAATTTGAAAAACACAGATGAGAATAAAGAAATGAGAAATTACTATTCAGCCATGGCAATCAACATGGTTAATGGTTTTAAGTATTTCCTTTCAGTCTTTTTCTTTATAGATATAGACAGAGTTGTGATAATGTTGCATAAAACTTTTTATTCTGGACTTCTGTTAACATTATAGAGTAATCATTTCCTTATAACATCAAAAACTCTTAATCCCATTTCCAGCACCAACAAATGCTATATTTACTAAGCAGTAACCAAGGATTGAGCTCAGAGCTGTACAAATAGTTGAAGGCAGGTGCCCCAGTGGGGTCTTAAATTCCAAGCATCCCGGTCACGTTAGGTATAACTGGTGGCCGTGTCTAAACCTTTTCTGTCCCCGCACACGCGAGTGATGGGGGTGGGAGGGTACACGCACTGGTAGGTTGAGTCAGGTCCCTAGGTCATCTGACCCCCACCTCCACCCACTGTTGAGAATCACTGGTCTATATGCTGTGCTCCTTTTGTCTCTCTGCTCAGTTACGAGAGAAGCAAGCCTATGTCGAGAAAGTTGAGAAGCTGCAGCAGGCTCTGACCCAACTGCAGTCTGCCTGTGAGAAGCGAGAGCAGATGGAGCGGAGACTTCGGACCTGGCTGGAGAGAGAGCTGGACGCCCTGAGAACCCAGCAGGTGAGAGGAGAGGGGAGGGGACAACAGACAACAGAATGGGCATATTCCTTCAGCAAACAGTTCTGCAGCAGAGCCCCTGCTGTGGGCCAGGCTCTGCCCTCTGCACTGAGGATGCAGAGGAAACTCCCTGTCGTAGTGAACCAGTAGTGAACCAATGCAGCGGCCAGTGGAGGAGCCAGGCACTCCCCTCACTGGGGTGACGAACCTCCTTGCAGAAAGCGGTGACCCTGGGGACTGGGCATAGGAGAATGTGGCTTTAGACAGCTTCACAGAGAAGGACATTTGAGTTAGACTTTGAAATATGAGTTTGTTGGGGGTTCCCCGGGGAAAAAAGAACATCAGAGGTAGAGGAAGAGCACGTAGAAAGGGGAGAGGCATGCTGAGGTGTAGCTGGTTCAGGACGCCTGGGTGCAGCCCACAGAGGGGAGACAGCCTAGTGAGTTGCTGGTGAGGAGGGGAAGGCCAGTTTGTGGAAAGCATTTGGTCGAGGTGACAAATTGAACTTGTTCCTATAACCAACAGAGCCAACAACAGGGTGTTTGTAAGCTAGAGAGGACTGTGGTACAGAGGATTTGGGAGAGCCCTCTGGTGGTGGTGGGAGGGCTTGGAGGGCAGATGGTGCAGAGAGGAGGCCAGCTGGAAGGCTGTTGGTGCCATCCAGGCTGCAGTGACAACGGGAATCCACAGAGGAGCTAGTGAGGGGGTGAGATTAGTAGGACCTGACCAGCAGTGCAGATGCAGAGGTAAAGGAGAGGAAGGAGTTCAGGACTGTCCCAGGAGTATAATGTCCAGAAGCTCCTAATCCTTCTGCCTTGTCCCCTTCCTTTTCCTATTACTATAACTCAGGTACAAATAAGCACAGAGTAAAACACCTAGCCCAGGGTCCGTGTGCCTTGGCAAGGGGACAAGCCCTGCAGGGCGGCTCAGTGGCTGGACTGGGATCCATACAGGCCAGTCAGACTCCTGGCTCCAGAGAGCACTCAGGCCAGTGTGGTGGGCAAAGCCCTCTCTGCAGCTAATGAAAGGGGGCATGCGGTGCATTGGGACCCAGGGAATGCAGGGCGGGTCCATGGAAGTATCTGTTGGATAGGGCATAGTGGTTGTGGTTGAAACACTTGAGAGTACTTGAAAGCGTGCACTCAGGCCAGGCCAGCCCTTTCTCATGGCAGGCGCCCACAGTTCCCCTGGGTGTGTGTGCTTGGGGAAGGTGTTAGTGACATTGTCCAGAACATTAAGAAACCCACCCAGCCTCTCACCATCTTGGCTTAGCTGACAGTGCACGAGGCAGGGTGTGTCTGTCTCCGGACTTCGGCTCCTCCCACCCTGTGCCACATGCCCTGGCACTACGGTTGCCCGTCAGCTCTTCTCTGTTGTGCAGTTGCTGAGATCTTAACCTCCCCGACTGCAAGGCAGGCTTCTCTGATGCCGGGACTGTGCTGGCACCGGTGCCACTTACGAACCTTTGGCTGACAAAATGGGCACATCTCAATACTTAGGAAAAAAAATTGTTTCTTGCCAGTTCCTGTGTCACCCACACCCTCCCGTGGGATTACTTATCTCTGGACCTTCTATTCTGAGTCACTGAAACCAGATTTGACTCCATTATCCCTGCTGTGTACCAAGAAGAAATGTGAAGTTAGAATTCTGTGAAAAATGTCTCTTTTGCCACAGAGGGCCAGCACACTGCCGCCGTTATCTCCTCAGACTGCAGAAACGACGTCCCTGCCGTGCAGAAGGGCTGCTGGCAGGTTCAGGCTTACTTGCAAGGCTGGAAGTTTCAGAATGAAGGCTCTCCAAGGAAATGACTCAGCTTGCATTTTGGGTTGAGTTTGGGGGGCTGATAGCAGACCCCTAGCTGTTTATGGCTGACATGAAACCAAAGGGAGGGGGGACAATCTTTAGAGTAATACAGAACTTCGTTTAACTCAGCATTTCTTTAAAAATAATATTATAGTTTTTTAAATGAGCTTGTTAATCTGTCTTTTATGATACGAAAGAAGAATTTCCTTGTTGTGTTTGCCTACTTATTAAAAAGATGACTGTTACTCTTTGTTTTTTCTTTAACACCTCTGTACCATTTTACCAGTGCGCAGGGCAGTGGGTCAACACAGTGAGCATGCAGCATTCTATGACCCCAGAAGGCAGAGTTTTATTACAAATATATCCACTTAAAAGCCTTGAGTTTCTTACAAATTCCATGTGGTATATACTATAAAATTTGGTCAAATTCCTGCCTGTATGCTTCAGTGTTGAAATTCATGCATTTGCTTAATAACTCATAATGACCTGAATGAGGTGCTCATGAAGAATTGGCAGGGTCCCATGTGAGGCCAGAAGGATTCTGCAGAAATAAGCCGGCTAAGGTGGCCACATTAGGCTTTAGATGGAAACTGACCAGCACAGAGGGTAGCTGAGCGAGGCTGTGGGATCATTTCCTTGGGACGTTTCTAAGAAGGGAACTTCTCGTCTCGAAGGACTCGATGTCCTCCTGCCTGAGGCCAGGTGCCTGGCTGGGGAGGGGCTGGCAACTTCCTGCATAGATCAGTGAGGGCAGTTGCGTGCCTTCGCTCTATTCTTGCTTAAATATTGGTCACTGGTGAGATCCTAGAATAATTTGTATTTGTAGCTTTAAAAAATTGAATGCAGGCATATGGTTCACGAAAGCCTGTGGGCCCGTTTGCTCTTTTTTCTCTGGGCGGATTCGAGTCCATTAGAGCAGCTCACAATGCCCAGCTGTTGCCCTAGATAATTGATGTGGTTCAGGGTAAAGTGCTCAGGTACCTCCCGTCTTGCAACCAGGATTTGTGATCCCAAAAAGACATGAGGGCACACAGAGCAGCTGGGGTGGAATCACTCTTCCCTGAAGTCAGAGCCTCATCAAAACCCCATCACCCTCGAAGGCATGCTGTTCAGAGGAAACAGCATGCCTGAGTCGAAAGGGAAAACGTCTGAAATAGGAACATCCTCCGCTTGTGAGCAGCCCAGATGCCAGAACTGCTTTATTTCCCATCATACAGACACGATGGAGAGAAAGGGCTGGACTAGCATTAGAGGATTTTGGTAGCACTTAACTTTGTTTAGCCCTTTAAAGTTTATTAAATGCTTTCACATGCATTATCTTATTTGATTCTCAAAAATTTAAGTGGGACAGGTATTAATTCCTGTGGTTCCCAGATGAGAGCATTGCAGCTGGGGGAACATGCATGTTAGGTTCCCTGGCCTTTACATGTTATCTCCAGCCTTGGGGAAAACAAGCACCTGGGATCACTTCCTTGAGGTCTAGATAAAGTGCCCTGGACCAGGAGGCCAGGACTTAGGTCCTGTTCTTGCTTATGTATAAATTAACTGCAGGACATTAAACAAGCTACTTGTTGTCATGCAGAGCTGTATGGACTCCCAGACCCAGGTTCGAATCCTGAGCCTACTGCTGATTAGCTGAGAGACATGGAACAGTTCATTTAACCTCTCAGAAGCTTAGTTTTCTAAAACTGGGATAATATTTTCCATTTACATTGTAAAGTTCCATGACTACTGAATGAGAGAACACTTGGGTAGGCGGAGTATCTTGTTGTTAGGATCTGCAAAGTTTGGTTGTCCATACTAGAGAGGGAGAAAGTGTGATTGATGGGATGCGTGTGAGTGTGCTGAGGATCTGGATGGACCATGATTGCTCCACGTGGGTAGCTGTGCAGACACAGTTTATGTGGTCTACTTTATAGCCTCGTTTCAGCATCAAGATGTTATTTCTCCTGCTTCTCCAGAAACACGGAAACAGCTCGCCAGCCAGCATGCCGGAATACAATGCCCCGGCCCTTATGGAACTCGTGAGGGAGAAGGAGGAACGGATCCTGGCCCTGGAGGCCGACATGACCAAGTGGGAGCAGAAGTATCTGGAGGAGAGCACCATCCGGCACTTCGCCATGAACGCTGCAGCCACTGCGGCCGCTGAGAGGTGAGACTAGCCACGCGTCCAGCAGAGGGGTTCCATTCAGTTATGTGAAGTACAGTCACATCATGGAATACTACATGGTCTTCAAGAGCGATGTGGAAGTCTACTTCACATTCATTTTTTAACAGTGGGTGTGTGTCAGAAGAATAGTTGAGCCTCATAACAGCCCTGAGAGGAGGAACTACTGTTATCTCCATTGTGCGGTGAATAAATGAGGCTTAGAGAGGTGCACGGTTGATTCCAATTCACACTGCCGCCACAACTCAAAGTGAGATTTTTCTGACTTCAAGCTGACTTCACTTGGTTTGAAATTGTCTTCTGTTGCCCTCAGTTATTACCTCTGTTGCTTTCTTTCCTTTTTGTAGGGGCACAATCTTATTCTTTCTTTCAAAATTAGCTCAGAAAGTTCAGTAATTCACAAAATACTTCTGTGAAACCCTCCTCCTGCGTGAGCAGCTAGTTCCCCTTGATTGCTGGAGCTTGCCTGCACGTGTGCCTGCCGGGCCTCACCTGCATGTGTGATGCTGCACTGCCTGAGTGGCTGTGCATTCTCCCTGTCAAATCTCTCAGTGTCTCTGCCCCCACTCCATCTTCCACCAGTTTGTTCTTTGTCCATAAGTTATATGGAAAATTTAACTCGCAGTTGTTTGGAATTCACTAAAATTTAGGGTCAGTATATTTGGAGGAGATCCTCAAATTTCAAAGTTGCATCCATAAAACTGGGCTAGTCAGTCCCACATTTCTTGGGGTGTGTTTTTTCTTCTTTCATGAGGAAGAGCAAGCCCATTGGGGTGGAGGGAGGATACTTTGAGAGCCACTCATGGGCTCTCATGTTCCTTACTCATGTAGAGAAAAGTCACTAGCAATACGCTCAGGTGTTGCCTCCAGGAACTGGGAGAGAGAGCGGCCACCCACGTGGGCATAGATTCCTCCACTGGATGCCCCAGCACACTCACATCTGGAGAGACCTGCAGACTCGTATGGAAAATGGCCATTTGAGGATCATTTTCTAGTGCTCGACTGTTGTCTATGCATTTCTGTGCTTTGGGGGAAAGCGCCCACAGTATCTCACCCAAGTGAGCCTTCAGGAGCGGGAGCAGGTGCTGGGGACGTGTGTTGTGTGTCGAAGCTGCAGTCATGATGTGAGAGTCGGGGGAAGTCGCAGCCTCCAATGCAGTCTTTGTACTGGATGGGTGGGACGTTGAAACTCTTGGGAATATTCCCTGATATTTACATAACTGGTCATCTTCAGCTTTTTGCATTGTAAGGTAGTGAGTAAATCTCCTCTCTGTCCTGAGGGAGAGAACAAACCACCGTGCAGTCACAAAGGGATCGGGGCCATCAGAGGCCCTGTGACTGGCAGGAAAGAACACAGTGCAGAGAGGCAGGACGCAGCACACGAGGCCTCCCCAGCTGTCGCCGACCGTCGGTGTGTGACTCTGCAACCACCTTTCTGAATGGCACTCAACTTCATTTTGAAACGGGAATTAAAATTCTTGGCTGGTTACAAGCAGAGAACCAGACCCCGTTCCACTGGCTAAGGACACAGAAGCCCCATTAGCAGTGTTAATGTGTCACATTGGAGGCACGACCAAGGGGCGTTGTCTCGGCAACTATCGATGTATCAGATTAGATGCATGTTTGGGGCTTGGGGCCTGAGAATGAATGGGACTGGAATGTAAAATCAGAGGTTGGGGCTGGGGGGGTTGGGGGGGGCTCCACCCGCAGGGCCTGCCCACAACCCTCCCCCCAGACACCATGATGAGAATAAGTCTACAAGACATGATCTGCTTGGGGAGGAAAGGTGGCCAATCTCTCAGAGGAATAGGCCTTGGGCCTGTTCCTCAGTGGGCTTTTTATTGGGTTTAATTTGCATAGGAATACAGGGAGTATACATAAAGCTCATCAGTCATTGTCGGGTAGTAATGATCAAACAATAAATAACATTCAACTCTGAGGGCTTATTCTGAGTCAGGGTCAGATAGTTAAAGGGCCATAAAACTTTGGGGAACAAACTCACTTTATGCTTGGACCCTTATCATTTAAATTGAGGGTATTAGCAAAGTAGGTTTCATAGGATTTTATGCATTCTTTCTTAGGCCTGATCATCCTAGGGAACCTGCCCTTTCCAGCACAGGGCCGCACCCACCTCTGGGCATTCTTTCTGGCTTTAGTCAGGCAGGTGAAGTAAGTGCCAAGAGATTAGGAGACTTCTTGCAGACAGAATGAGGACCCAGGCTATGTCAAAGCCAAGGGGTGAGGGTCCATCATCCCCTTTTTCTATAGACCTCCCTAAGTCCTTCCCTGAGGGCCCCTTTGTGACCATGCCTGTCTTAAGTCGTCCCTCCTTTGAGGAATCTTACCCGTCATTGGCTAACCAGCCGTCCTCCCGTGGCCAAGCAGGGTGAGATGAAAGGGGGCAGAGGTGGCACCCCTACAAGGAAAATAAGCTTTGTCTCCTGAGTGGCTTATGGTCCCAAAGTTGATCACTCAGCCTTAGCCATGGGGGGTTACAGCTTCTGAAACCAGGCAGGACGCGGTTCCCAACATGGGGCAATGAACAGATGTGAAGCATGAGACCTGTATTAAGAGCACAGGATCAGGGTGGTGGGGACGTGAGTAGAACCAGACAACCCAGCCACCATCATCCCTTCACGTGGCGCCAGCCAAGCCTTGTTTGTCACCCTTCGTGCAAGGGCAAATGCCCCCTGCCCTCAGAGAACAGGACGGATGGAATCAGGCCCTTTCAACCTTTCCTCCCTTCCGCCCTTCTTTGCTTCCACGTGTGCTTATTGAGCATCTAATAATTTTGTGGAATTACTGACCTCCTCCTTACTGACCACTCCTTGCCACAGTCTTGAGAAAAATCAGGTTTTTAGCTCCAATCTTAATGTTCTTTTCAAAGAAAACCGTAATTTCAGCATTGCTTTTCTGTGGAAAGGTTTTTGAGAAAGGTCAAAATTCGGAGCTCTTGTCTAAATGCTAAATGGCCGCTTACACATTGGTAAAAATTTGTGTTTCCAGTCATTAGTTTTGTGTCTTTCAGCCACTGATGAATACTTCCCATTTATAAATAATGATTTTTAAACAAAAAATGATTTTTGTGTATCAGCTGATTTTGCCTTCCTGATACATCTTGGCACCATGGATCAGAATTTTGAGAGAATGGGCCTTTTTTATGCTTTTGAAGCTTTTTACAGACTTCAAAGCAATGTAATATTTGTTTTGAGAGTCTTATGTACTTGCCTTCTAAGTTGTTTTTGTTTGATTGTGCCTGCTGCCCTTACTTGGCAGTAAACATGAATTTTTAAGTCTGTTTCTGGATCTGAATGAATTCTCCAAAAGTAAATTGGTTGAGAATGTTTCTCCAGCCACTAATTCCTGTGTCGATGTTTCTTGTGTACCACAGAGTAGATTTATGTTTTTGCCAGTATGTTTAAAGCACTTTGCTTCTTTTCCACATTACTAAGCTTTTTATGATTTATTTTGAGCCACTGTTTTCACTTAAGCCACAGTCTCACGTGTGCCTGCTTTGTGGGTTTATTTGATCTAAATGCATCTGTGCCCCGGCCTTCTTCATAAAAACACAGGAGATGTCTGGAGTGCATGGTGATGGCTAGGGGAATGGACACCGGGGCATTAGTACATACCTGGGTGTGAATTCCTTTCCACTGTCACACACTGGGTGTTCTCACAAAGCTGCCTGCAGGACGAGGGTGGTAACATCTACCGCACACGCTGCTCTGAGAACTAAATGAGATGCCAGAGTGACGTGCTTTCCCCAGCCTGCAGCATGAGGGAAATGCTCGTTCATTGGCAGCTGTTGTTAAAAAAGATTAAACTGAGGGCTCTTTTTTTTGCTGTTTTTTGAGTGTTCTAGAAAAGAGATGTTAGATTTTAAATATGACTGGAGCACTGGATTATGCATTTTAAGAGATGTGAGCTATTTGGCTGAACTCGAGGGGGTCCAGCCTGCCGGCCACATGCAGCCCAGGATGGCTATGAATGCGGCCCAATATAAAATCATAAATTTACTTAAAACCTTTTTTTTGCTCATCAGTTTTTGTTAGTGTTTGTGTATTTAATGTGCGACCCAAGACAACTCTTCTTCCAGTGTGACCCACAGATGGCAAAAGGTTAGACACCATTGGCCACTAGATCATTTCTCGTTAGTTTAGCACTCACTGACCAGAGAATTATTGTGCCTTTCAGTCAAAGATATATGTAGACCGTGTCGGTGGCGCAGCTCTGTCATTTTCACCGGCCATCATTAACTGGGGGGATTCAATTGCTAAAACCAGCGGCAGGAATAGTCCTCTCTGACCAGCTGTTTTCTACCAGACACAGGCTTCCAGCTCCACTGTTTCAGTCTACCTGTGTCTGTCCCGCCCCTTCCGCCACCCCCGCCCCCCGCCCACACTGGACTTACCAAACACAGGGCGTGTGTCTTCTTCATCTCTCTGCTGTGTGACCAGCGTGGCTGTCACGCCGGGCGGACCTGAATCCTAGGCAGGGAAAACAAGCAGTGAGCTGGAATGCAAACATGGTGGAAGATTTCAGCTGCAACCTCTCTCTGGTCAAGAGGACCAATACAGGGTTAAGTCTTTTCTGAGTCTTCATTTCACTGTAAAATTACTGAAATAGCTGCTCTGTGGATGAGGAGTAGAAATAAAACTTCAACTCTTATTGAGAAAGTCATAAGGGATAGATAAGTGCGGAAGAGAAACACTAACAAATACAGTGATAGTACTCATATGCCAGTAGATGCAGTGTTCATATTCATAGCATGCCACATAGCTTAACATACAATGTTGTTAGTAGAAGGGGCAGGGAGTTTTTACTTTAGGATTTTATTTTGTTTTCCTTAGGTACTGTCATAATTCTGTCAAGATGAGGGAGAGAACTGGCTGGGATTTAGGAGAGGGCGAGGGAGCGAAGGGGTTTGTGGGGAGATTTCTTCAGTGTGGTGCCCTCGGACGCCTCCCTGTGAGTGTTTGCATCACTCCCGGGTGTCCTGTGTTGGCAGGGACACCACGATCATCAACCACTCGAGGAGCGGCAGCTACGGCGAGGGCTCGCTGGAGGCCCACATCTGGCAGGAGGAGGAGGAGGTGGTACAGGCCACCAGGAGGTGTCAGGACATGGAGTACACGTAAGGGACAGCCATGCGCGCGGCCGTGATACTGGGCTCCACTCTGGTCACCACCTCTAGACCCCAGCGGCCGATGTTGGTGCTCACACACCAGCCCCGTCCTGCTCGGGACAGCTGACAGGCTCAGCCGATTACTCTCCTCGTGAGAAGAACTCAAGTGTTTTCCAATCCTTGTTTTTGGCCATCGTGGGGAAAATTATCTTCTCCCAGAAAATCTGTTCATCTTTTAATTGTTTTTTTCAGAAAGTAGGGAAATTAACTTCCTTGGAAAGCTGACCCTGTGTGAGGCTTCATATTCGTGGTTCCCATGTCCCCTACTGCTCCTTCCCTGCACCCTGGTCCCTGAGCTGGTCCCTGAGCACACTGTGGTCCGGGGGCCCTGCTAGGAGGCCACGATCATTCTGACCTACGTCCTCAGGTTCCTGGAAGCCCGAGAGCCTCCTGAGAGACCAGAGAAGGTGTACCCTTTTGATCTACTTCCAAAGATCCATCTTACACGGTTTGCAGATTATAAATGTTTGAAGACTTGACTGCAACTCATTCTCCAACCTCAATTACACTTTGAATCCCTGGGGCAGCCAGAGAGCAATGCTTCCAGTTTTTCTAGGCTTTTGTTTATGACTGTTCTATTTTGTTTTGTTACACAGCATTAAGAACCTCCACGCCAAAATCATAGAGAAGGACGCCATGATTAAGGTCCTTCAGCAGCGATCTCGTAAAGATGCCGGCAAGACGGACTCCTCGAGCCTGCGGCCGGCCCGCTCCGTCCCTTCCATTGCTGCAGCCACAGGGACCCACTCCCGCCAGACCTCTCTCACCAGCAGCCAGTTAGCTGAGGAGAAGAAGGAAGAGAGAACCTGGAAGGGAAGCATAGGTAAGTCCCATACCTCCTTCAGCCTCGCATCTGGAAAGCAAGAGCCACCCCAGCACTGAGAGGCAACCGTGTCTGGTGCAAAGAGCCCTGACACTTTTGTGGTGTCGGAGTCTGTCACTCATGGGAACAGAAATGCCACTGAATACTTGGAAGCCTCAGTTCACTCATCTGTGAAATGGGGAGGAAAATCAGCTCTCCTTTGGCTGTGGAAGTTAAATGGGCTCTGTGGGAGCAACGGCTCTACCACGAGATTGGCATTAGCCACAGGTTGACTCATGTAGTTATTAGCATGATTGTTGAAAGCTGAGGTAACCGACTCTTAAACATAAAGTGTTCTAATAGGAAAAGCCCTTAGAAGTCAGACCCCTGAATTTGGCCCTGCCCCAGACCAGTTGTAAGACTGCCCCACCTCTGCTTCTGTGCCTAGAGAAAGCAGGGCAGTGTCTGCCCTGTTACCCCTGGGGCTCCGGTGAGGGCACACTGAGGTACTGGGGAGCGAGCACTTTGGGAGAAGCATGCTAGAGCAGGAGAGGTTGGTGGTCGTTGTTCTTTTTGTACTGTTGCACAGGCAGAATTTTAAGAATTCTGCAGATGCGGTGTTAGCCGAGAGTGGGTTTCCTGGGTTAAGGGCCGGCCTATCAACGGGCTCGCTGAGTCCAGAGAGGAAGGGGGCAGTGCTGCCCAGCACTCAGGCAGCATTCCCAGACATGTGTCCCCCATTCTTTTCCCTGCACTCTGGCAACTCCGGGGTCTTGCCCTCCTTTGATGCCTGTCCCTGGGTCAGAGCATGCTTTGTTTATCTGTGCAGCTGAGAGCCAGTTTTTGTCAGCAGGGGCCTGGCTGCTTCGTGCCAAAAACGGGTAAGAGCTTCCAGGATGAACCTGACAGAGGGGGATCAAAGGCACCCAGCCAGAATCCCTGTTTGAAGTCCCTCCACGGTCACTTCAGCAGTCCCTGGCCTCCAAGGAAGTATACTTCAAAGAGGACGTGCATGGATAGCAGCTGGGATCATCAAACACCCTCCCAGGGGCACTTAGCTTTCAGCCCAACGAGAGAGCCTGGAAGTCGGTGCTCAGATGCCTGGTAAAGAGCCTGAAAGGCATTCAGGCCAGTTTGTGGTGTCCAGCCAGGCGGGCATTTCTCTGGTGTCTGTGCGTCTGTCCCTCAGCGTGTGGCACATCTACACCAGACGTGGGAGCCGGACCCAGTCTGCGGGGAGAGCTGCGGTGTTCTCTGCTCTGGGGCTTCATTGGTGTCACACAGTTGGTGTCCACGCGTCACAGAAACAGAGAGGGGCTCCGGCAGGCCAGGCCGAGGCGCACATTCCCGGGCCGCGCCCCAGTTCCCGCATCGCTTCCACAGTCTCTTGCCCAATGGGCTCTGGAAGGAGGTAGAGGGGACAGTGTAGACCTTCCTGGTGGCTCAGGGGCACCCAGGTGGCATGACTGCCTGGTGACTTAGTTCCACAAGAACATCCCTGTCTGACTGCAGAGCTGTGACAGGCAGCCAATGAGGCGGGAAGAATGCAGGCTGGCGTCAAGTCGGGCACAGCTGGGCTTGGATCCCATTCCTGCTACTTCTAAGCTGTGAGAAGTTTGTTTCACTGAGCAGCTGTTTGCTTGTGTGTAAAACAGAAGATAACAACAGGACATGTCTCACAGGACGGTTGTGAACTACAAAGTGAGATGATGTGTGTGGAAGTACTTAGCTCAAGACCCGGCTACTCGAAGTGTGGTCTGGCCTCGAGTCACCGGCATCACCTTGGAGCTTGTTAGAGAGGCAGCCTCCAGTCCCACCCACTGAACTGAATCTTCATTTAACGATATATCCAAGTACCTAATAGGTGCATTACATTTGAGAAGCAAGAGCTGTAGACAAACTGAACTGCTCTGTGTTGAGTTATGAATGGGCACCTTTAAACAGCCCTGGTGAGGATACTTCATGAATTGCTGGCTAGTTAAGATACATGAACAAATAGCTGATTGTGCTGACCACGTTTTCTACAGGCTAGTGTTCTGGAGTGCCGGCTGTTTTCTGAATGTGTGCTGTGTTTCATTATTTAAAAATAAAAAAAGTTGCTCTCCTGTCCCTCTCTGTTGGGAGACGTTGAGAAGGAAGGGCACTGCCCATCGTGCCCTCTTTTCCCAGCGGCAGTTTACTTTACAACTCTTCCCCTCAGAAAAAGAACTACAAATTTTTAGGGAGGAGACTTTTTTTCCCTTTTTTAAAAATTTCCTAATTGCTTTTCAATGTATCAGACACATAATAAGTGCTTGTAAATGCATTTGGTGAAGGAATCAATGAACGAATACAACAATCTTCAGTCCAGAAGAAAATCATCTCCAAGACAGCTTTTCTTGTTTTGTTTTGTGTTAAGAACTAACACTGAAAAAGCTGTCTCTCTGCCCTCAGGACTGCTGCTGGGGAAGGAGAACCATGAACACGCTTCCGCCCCCGTACTGCCCGCCCCGCCTGCCTCGGCACTGTCCCCCACAGTGCCCACCACATCGGCCAGCAGTGCCCATGCTAAGACGGGCAGCAAGGACAGCAGCACCCAGACAGACAAGAGCACTGAACTCTTCTGGCCCAACATGGCCTCCTTGCCCAACCGCGGCAGACTGGGCATGACCCCTTCCAACAGCCCGGTCCTGAAACACCCAGCGGCCAAAGGGACAGCAGAGAAACTGGGTAAGAGGTTCTGATCTCCTTTTCATCAAAGAAACCGTAGAGCCCTCTGGCCTGAGAAAGGGGGGCTGTTGTTGAGCTGGGGAAGTGGCAGAGCCACCAATCAGCTTTCACTTTATGGGGTGTTTTCTTTTATGGTTATGGTTACCCTAGAGCATATAAGCTGTGTTTGTTCTCATGGGAATAAAATGTGTGTAGACACTCTTAATTTATTACCCTTCAAAGGATCACACAACTTGGGTGTGCCCTTTCGGTGTATCCTTATAGCCAGCCCTTCCCTACAAGGGACAGAAATAGACAGACTCTGAGGGGTGCTGGGGAGCCAGTAGCACCCACCAACTGCATCAGAGGCATGGGGTGCATGGATGCGGCCCTACTCGTTAAGGATTCGGGTGGGGAGCACCTCCTGACTGAGGGAGTCCTAATCCTAATTAATCCTAATTAATGAAAACAATCCACTCCTACTTAACGCCATCAAACGCCTACTCATCGGAAGCATAGGGAGGTAATAAACCACAGAGGAGGGGAGCTTCTGGTGCCACCTTCAGGCCAGCACCAATGTTGCTTTAAACATGTAAGAGAAGACAGCTGGAGGCAGGAGCTTGCGATGAGCCCAGAAACATCTGGGTAAAGAACAGACTTGGCTTCATCTTGGGGACTAATCTTAGTCCTGGGGATAGCTCTCTTCAGGAATTCTTTTGAGGAGGTGGGGTTATTGGGGTCATAAATTCAACTGTTTCAAGGGAGTTCTTTATTTTCATCCTACAAATTAGACAAATATACACAGCATTGTCTTTTTTTTTTTTTTTTTGAGATTCCATTCCTAAAATGCCCTTTTCCAAGAAGGCAGGGTGTGTGTGAAAGTTCCTGTTCCTGCTCCAGCAGGGCCGGGTCATATGGCCTTTGCCATGTGCCCTGGTGGTGAGCGGTGGGGTCTGAAATGGTTCCATTGTAGAGAGACCTCGTGAGACCCGTGTCCTTCCCGAGGAGTCGGCTACTGATGTCCCCTTGTGTTTGGCAGAGAGCTCTCCTGGCCATGGGAAGTCACCTGACCACAAAGGCCGCGGCAGCAGCCTGCTGCACAAGCCCGAGTTCCCCGACGGGGAGATGATGGAAGTCCTCATCTGATGCTGGCATCCCTGTTGAGTTCGGGAACCGATGTTGAGAAGCAAACAAAGAATGTGTCAAAGAGGGAGCAAAATGATCAGGAAGGTTGTTGATGGACAATCAGGAATGATTGGAACTGATAAAGATGTCAGATTAGTGAGAACACTTTTTGTAAATGTTAAAAAATCGGGACACCTACCTGACTGAAGATGAAGAGAATGCTGTGGACTTTTATTGCGTGTGGTGGAAGAGAGACGGTGCATGTAGGTTTGGAAACAAGAAATGGGAAATAGAATCTTCATTGTACAGAAAATGTATCTCATGGGGAGGGTCTGTGTACACCCATTTTCTGGTTATAAATGGATAAACCTGAACGTGAATCTTCCTTGGAATACCCCCATTCTCCTTGCCTTTTAGCATCTTTTGGTTTCAGAAGAACCTCCTGGAAACCCCTGGGAGCCCATCTGGGCTTTGCCCGTGGGGTCCTGGGCTGTGACAAAGTAAGCTGGGACTGACTCTCCTAAACGGCTCTGTGGTGGGCATTGAGCCTTGTGCTTCGCGTTGGTCACCTCTTTTGGTCCCAGGCTAAGTGTTGCTCAGTATTGTGCAGCCTGGGAAAGCGGAACAGTTCTGCGGCGAGTAGAACTGTTATAGTTCCACTATATTGCCCGTGCCCTCCACGGGGTGTCCTGGGAATGTGTGTGTGTGTGTGTGTGTGTGTGTGTGTGACACGAGCTGGACGCTACGGGGCGACAGGGCGTCTGGAACATGGTCCTCACCGAATCACCTGCCTGGCTTGGGTTTTGCAGGAGATTTTGGGGCTGCTTAGCTTTTGTGGACTCGGCCGTGCTTTGTAAACTGAGCGGGAGCATCATGGTCTTGGTGCTCATCCTTCCCAGTTTCCCTGACTTCATCCCTGTTTTTGCTTCACTTTCTTTCATTTCACTCTTTCTTCCTTTCACTGTTTTCTAAACTTTAAAATGACAGAAGAGGTCCATATTTATCAGAGCGGTGTCTGAAGTGTCTCCGTCCTGCTGTGTTCCGCAGTGACAGGTGGGACAGAGCCAGAGGCTGGCTTCCCAGCTGCTCCCTGGGCCGTGGCTGCTCACGCCGCACTGACTGCGCTGGGGAGGCCGTGGCGAGGCTGTGGTGAGGCAGGAGACCTGTGGCCAGTGACATCTTGCATTAAGGTCATGGCCCTGGCTTTTTTCTCTCCCACATGAGCTCTTTTGCATGGGGCTGAGTACTTGCACCCTGTCACTCTGTGGGGGTAAGACTTTCAGGACAGCACCCCAGGAAGCAAACGGCGCTGGACTTGGTGGCGCCCAGAATCTCACCAGGCACCTGGTATGCTTTCTAGAGTTGTGGTTCTGGAGCACGTTCCACACTCTCCCCGCCCCTCACACTGCCCTGGTCGCTGTTGACGAGCACACACACTTTCGTCACCATCAGCGCATGTGTGTTCAGTTTTCTCCATCGGGAACTTGCTTTGGAACCTAACAGGCCAGTTATATATGCGGTTTGGTCTGATTTCTCACGATTTCAGTTTGAGGCAAGGTTATCCAAAGTAAGATGAAAATACCACGTTGAAGAGCCAGGAGTGAGTGTGGCGGCAGGCCCCTTGTCCCTGGGCTTGAGGGTTCACATCTGACTGCTCCGACGAGGGGCCTTCCTGACAAATCTGGGAGGCGCCGGGTCCGGAAAGAGGTGCAGTGGCCAGGCTGTCGGAAGTTTTTGCAGGGTCCTGCTGTCTCTCGCTCCAGGCCATCTGGATGGTCCCTTTCCTCACCTACCTTAAGGAAGGAAAGAAAAGCCCTGGCTCCGAATGAAGCCTCACCTAAAGGAAGCTTGGGCCTCAGCACTGTCCAGGAGGTTTGGCTTAGGGAGCTTATTTTAGGGTTGGTCTTTAGAGTGTAACCTGGGTGGAGTTAGAGCCTCCCCAAATTGAGGAGTTTGAAGGGTGACAGAAAGCACTAAAGGGGGAGGGTTAAAACTAGACCTTTGCCCGTGGGGTCCTGGGCTGTGACAAAATAAGCTGGGACTGACTCTCCTAAACGGCTCTGTGGTGGGCATTGAGCCTTGTGCTTCGCACTGGTCACCTCTTTTGGTCCCAGGCTAAGTGTTGCTCAGTATTGTGCAGCCTGGGAAAGCGGAACAGTTCTGCGGCGAGAAGCTCGCTAAATGCCCGGGGATGTGGGGAGAGGGCACAGAGGCCCCACTAGTGAGGAAAAGGTTGCTGTGCATAGGACAGAGGGTCGCCATTCCAATCTCTGCTCTCATCACTTTTTATGGGTGATGTGGTTCAGTAGGTGGCACTCCCCATTAATGTTGGGGTGCACCAGGAAGGAAAGAAAGTATCTAGAGGTAGGAAGGCAAGTTGCCTCTGCCAGCCCCACCCCCCTCGCCCATGTCTGGGCCACCCCAAACTTAGTCTGTCTCCCCTAGAAGTGGGTGAGAGGGAGATCCGCAGCCCAGCTTCCCCCAGACTTCCCCTCCATGCTCTAGCTCCCCTCAGTGCCCCCCCCATCACTGGGCGGCACACGTGCCTCTGACCCCCCTGGGTTGCCAGGCTGTGCTAGTTGTCAGCAAGCACGGACGTCACCATGTCTCAGTTGTGCTATGGCCTTTGCCAATCTCTTTTTTATTCTAACCTGCCAAGACTCTTCCATAAGAGAGGGTATCTATAGCTTTAAAAACTCTTCTTTTATGGGAGATTTCCTGCCACGCCAGGGCCCCTGACACTTCACATTCGTTGCTTTCTTGCTTGCATGTAGGAAAAAGGGGTTGCCAGTCCTGAGCACCCACTGTGCATTCCGGGCAGTTTACATCCGATGATCTCATTTGATTTTCAGAAGAAATAATAGCAGCTCTAGTTTTGAGTGCTGACTGTGTGGTAAGCACCTTTTAATGAGTCCTCCAGACACCTGGAAGCGGGGTCAAGTTTATTCTTTATTCTCCTGTTTCACGGGAGGAAACTGGGGCTCAGGGAGCAAGTCCCTTCCTAGAGTCCCGCAGCCAGGAGGAGCTGGGGTCTGAGCCACGGGTTGAGAGGGGAGCTGGGCTGCCTCTGACGGTGCCACGCTCGGCCCACTCTCTCCCCCATCTGTGATGTGCATGTGCGTGCACACAGCTGCCCCACTCTCAGGAGCTAAGAAATAGGAATAGGCCCAGAATGCCTTGAATTGCCCACAAACACCAGGCCTAGGTGGAATTCTTTGTGTTCCGTTACACACATGGCCACAAAACCATGTACAAAACACTTGTGCATTGTCCAGAGGCCTGGACTTCTGAAGCTCCTGGTGGAGTCTGATTATGGAACTTACAGGTCCCATCAGTGTGAAGGGCAAAGGCTTTGGCTTTGTGTGGAGACATGTCAGAGTAATTCTGCTTCCTTCTTAAATGTGCTGTCGGGCAGCTTCTGTGTGCTGCCTAGGGACTAGGAGGTGTCTCTGGATTCCAGCAACTAATTTCAGTGCCTGTGCATTTTCTTCTGTTTTTCTTCTGTTTCCCAGAGGTTGGCAGCTAAGGATGGTGTTGAGTTCAGCCTGTTCCGAGCAGGCATGCAGGACCAGGCCGCCACGTCCCTCCCAGGGCACTGATTGAAGGGCAGAGAGTGCTGGGGCCTCCTCTCTTCGGTTCTGCAGGGCTTGCTCTTTGGAGTTCATGTATGAACTTTACTGCACGGGGCTTGGATTGGATACGGGAACAGTCGCTCCAAATGAGTTGTGAACTCAAACAATTCGGTGGTTGTGTTGCTCTGGGAAGAGGCTGTCAGGACACCCCCTGCAGAGAAGCCGGCCCTGCTGTTTGTTCAGCCATCTGTACCCACAGGAGGCAGTGGCTGATGGGCTGGGGGTTCTCCACTGCAGCAGCCCACTGAGTCCCAGACACTGGAGTGAACACAGGTGTCCAGTGAGGCTGGGCCCCCAGGAGGAGAGAAGACTAGATTGGGATTTAGAAAGTTTCCAGGCAGAGAGCTCATGCGCATCCCTCAGGGAGCTGTGCTGGTCAAAGCGGTGTGCTTCCCAAACCAGAGCCCTGCTCCACACCTGCACGGGCGCCAGAAGCCTGTGTCCCTGTGCACTCCCGATGGCCTCGTGCTCCTGAGCAAAGGAGCACTGTGGCCACGGTAAGCGGGCGCCCACCAACGTTGTTAAACGGCAGATGCTTTAAGTAGCTGGAGAGCATCCAGCCCGCAGTTGGCTTCTTCACATCCCTAAACCTGAGGCAGCCTTGGTATACGCTCTATGAGTGCTGGCCTTCATGTCTCTTCTCTGCGTAGTTCATCAGCGTGTCTGAAATGTCTTCATTCAGCGTGAGCAGTGTTGAGTGGGTTTGCCTCTCCTGTGTGGCTCCACAGGAGATGGGCAGAGTAATTAAGAAGTTACCAGAAGCTGATCAGCTGGGAGCATGTTTCTTCTGGAACTAATTAATGAGCAATTTTTCCTCTTCCCTGAAGTAGCATACCCTTTTCTTGTTTAGTAATTTAATGGTATATAAAGACGTGTACCTGTAGGTGTACACCTGTGAGGTAGGGCTATGAGGCTGTGTATGGGGTTGCTTTTCTGAAGCCCCAGGAGATCCACGTGTTTCATCTCACCTCCCTCCCTCGGAAGGGAGCCCCGTGGGAGACTCCACACTGATCGCTGCAGGGCTGCCTGGGTGCAGCGTGCGCAAACGCCTCTATTGGCAGGGACTGCGGAGCCTCGCATGTGCATTTGATTATTCTTAGACATGAGAAATCTTTGTCCTTGAAGAGGGACTTAAGTTTGGAAATAATCCCAAGTCATTCTCTCAGTTGGCTAAATAAAGATGTGTGATGAGGTCACCCCATTTTAGCTTAAAAAAAAAAACCCTGAAGATGTTCCTTGGAGTGAGTCTTTGCCCTCCAGGAGCCTCTCGAAGTGACCGCTTCCGAGAGGGACAGTCTTCATAAATACATGTAACTTCTAGTGGATTCACTTTTAAAATCTGTTCTCGCGCCATGTCTTGTATGTGTCAACATCTCTGCACACACCCGGTGTAAGTTTGTACGCGCTAGTGCACCCCTCCCGCAGGCAGCCTGTAAAGCCGTGCTATGCTTAGTGCATGTTATAGTCGTGTTATGCTCCAGTGAGGTGTTTGTCACGAAACTTGGCTTCGTTGCAGAATTCAAATATTGTTCTCAATATAGTGAAGTACATGTACGGCATTTTCTTGTATCAACTCCAGAAGCTTTGATGCCCAGTGGTGTGTTTACATGTGATTTTGCCTAGGACTGTGGTCACATGTAGACACCTGTGACTATTTATTACAAAGCAGAATGTAAGCAGTTTACCCACAGTGGTTTTCTTGGAGTTACGGTGTCTTTCCCCTTTGAGGAGTGACCGTGGAACCTCCTCCTCCACGAGGCACTTACAGAATCTGTGGGACTCCGGGAACAAGGGCAGGTGCCTGCAGCTGCCTTGGCCAGAACCCGACGGCTCCGGTGCTGCCCCGCCCAGGCCTGCGGTGTGTGTGTCGCGTGCTTGGTGGCCACTGCTGTGTGCTCTGTGGCGGACGCCGGGGTCACGCTGGGGCATCTGAGTCTGCTGGCCTGTGCTGAAGGGCGTGCAGAGCCGCACAGGTGGGCGGGCCTGGGCACCGAGTCGGGAGAGCCCAAGAACGCCGTGTGTGTGTCCCCGAAGATACTGATACTGTTGGTTGGCCAAAGATTTTCCTCTTCTTTGCTGCTTAAACTTGTGCCTTAATATTGTATATAATAAATGGATAAAATAGCTTTTCTTTCCCTCACGCTTGCTCCTTTCTTTTCCAAAGAACTTGCATACTGGGTGCTCAATAACTTTATTGAATTTGATTTTGTTTTATTGCTCAGAGGCAGCCTCACTGGCTGTTTTGCTCCCCGAGTCACCTGGCGCCCCCCTCGGGGGCCTGGCTTCCACTAACACAGGCTCCTGATTCTGAGAAGGAAGTGAGTCATCCAGACCCTTGGAGCCCGCCTCACACCCACCACTCCCAGCTCCTCCGCACAAGAAAGAAGAAATGGGGGGGGGGCTGGGCCTGGGAACACGGTATCACTTTGATCTTCTCTGAGTGTCCTCTTTTGGGGCTCCTGGGTGCAGAGCCAGCCAGTGACCACTGTCACTCAGGAATGAACCTAAGCAGCCTGGGCCCAGAGTCTGGGCTGGAGTCAGACTGCGCCCCACATGGACACAGAAGATGTAACTGCCTTCTTAGTGTCTTAGGGTCACAGGAAGTGGGTGAGGGCTTTGGCAGAAAGGGGTCCCATGGTAAACTGGTCAAATACAGGTGGGAGCTCAGGGACTGAAGCAGCAGAACAGAATAAACCATGTGAAGGCCCTTCCCAAGGGGTCGCCATTGTGGGGGAGGAGGTACCCTCTCTTTATTCTCTAATCAGGACAGTGATGTACAAAAGGTGGCGGAGAGGTATTTGAATGCAGGATGCGAGGCCTGTGCACTTGCAGTGAAGGGGGGAAGGTACTGGGAGACAGCAGAGCTCAGTCTCCTATCTGCATGGGTTCCTACCCATTCTGCCCAAAGGAATTCTCTGAAGGAGACCCCCAGAGCTCTGCCTGCATGTGGAAGTGACTCCTGTAGCATAAGGAATGAACTCTGCAGCCCCCTAGCCACCGCCTCCTGGGACTGCCCCAGGAAGACAGCTGGAGGACCTCATTGCCTTCAGGGCTCAGCTGAGGCCCCCTCTGAGCAGGTGCCGCCTCTGCCACCTGCCTGCCCTGACCCAGCTCGCAGCTCGTGTGAGGGCCTGTCTCTTGGCTCCTCGTACACCACAGGAGAGACATCACATCCCTAGCTTTCCTGTGTAGTTCTTCCAGGTGGTGACCACACTGTACCCCAAAGGGGTGCCGGCCTCTGTCCTGGGGTCCTGGGCTGGGACCTCCAGGAACTGCAGGGGGCAACCATGCCTTCTGGATTGCCTGGGCTCTTCCTTATCAGGAGTGAGGTCCAAAATGAGAAATGAATCAGGAGCTCTGAAATTCCCTTCTTAAAAAATGAAAAGTTCCAAGATGATGAAATCAAATATTTCTGTCATTAAAGAATGTTGCTCTTTCATTGTTTCTGTCGCCCTTTTATCAGTGTGACCATGTGTGTCCGATGTGCTCCCTCTACCCGCCCCCTCCCGGCCAGCACATCGACGCCATGCCCAGGGGAGCCTGCACTCTGACGGGTCTGTCCCCCTGAGCTTCCTGCAGGGAGCCTGGAAACGGCCCTCCCCATGGCATGTGGATCTCTGTCAAAGGCGGCTCATCCTAAGGTCTCAATGTGAATCATAGTCCTATTGCGACAAACAGAGAGTGTGTAACTTGATATCCAGATTGGTTTCTTCCTTCTGGGTGCTGGAGGGAGGGTGGGCCTAACGTTTATTGAGCTGGCGTTGGAACATCACTTCCTTTTAGCCACCCAAGGCGGTTGTCAGACGTGCTCACGTGCTCACGAGAAGTGCAGTGCACACTCAACTCTGCCGTCCGACCCAGGCCCGTCCACCTCTGAGTCCTGTTCCCTGTGCACTCCAGCGTGGCCTTTGACTTCCCTTCATTTCTATTTTTAATGGCTTGTTTGCTTGCTTTTGTTTTTAATCGTTCTGAAGGAATTGATAGGCAAATAGCTAATTGAAAACAACACCATAGATGGTAAAGTATTTGATGACTGAATGAGTCAGCCCTCAGGATTTAATGGGAGCAGAATTGTAATGTGTCTGCACATAGTAGGCCCTCTGCCAGTGCAGCCCCTAGCCTCACGGCATCTGTTCCAGGCCCCACCTCAGGCTGCCTCCCGCCGCAGTGACTGCACACACGTGTGTCCGGCAGCTCCTCTGTCTGCAGTGGGAGCACTGTCTTCCACCCAGAGTAGACGTTTATGAAAATTTGAGCTAAATGTTAATTACGCCAAGCTTCTTGTTGCATATTCAGTGACTGTTCAGAGGGAAACTAAAGTAAAATCTTATTTAAGAATAAGCAAGCACCACACATTTGTTCTTTAAAAAAACATGATTTAGAAGTATATAAAATAGAAGCCATCACTTCTCAGCCTTTTGGCTAATATCAAGTGTAGTGTCTGTTCTTATCAGTTAAATAAAATAGACGCCACTCCTTCCTCTAAATCCCTATTATTAACCATTGTTAACAATTGTATATAACCAAATAGGTATACAGATACACATGAGTGAATATCAATTTTTAAAATAAGTTCATGCTATTTCATACAACTTGCTTTTTCCAGTCAACAAGAGATCCTGGGGACATCTCTCTCCCAGCATCTCTCACTATCCTTCTGTAAGTGTCCCTTTGTCTGGAAGAAGGGACTGTATTGACACCTGAAGTGTGGTCCTTTGCCACCACCCAGCTTCCCCACAGCATTTTCCCAGGTGCTGAGAGCTAAGAGCATGGGGAACCTGGGACATACTCAGTTTTTCTGCTAAGAAAGAGGCCAAATTTTGTGATAGGCTTGGCCAAGAGCTGTCCCCAATGGTCTGTCCAAGCACAAACTGGTAATTAATGTCATGATGGCGTGGGGATCCCAAGGACGTGGTGCCGTGGCCCAGGGATGGCTCAGGCCCAGCCTGGCCGGCCCCGTTTCGATCCAGAACACCTGTCAGCTCTCTGACTGAGGGGCCAGCTTTCCATCCAGCGTCCCAGCGTTCGGCCTGGAGAAGAACGTGTTCTCCTGGCATGATCCTGCTTGTGCTGCTCTGACTCCACCCAGGTCATTGCGGGCATCTCTCCGGCCCCTGGCCCAGCACTTTCATTCTGCGGAGTGTCTATTGGGGTTTTACAAATACTTTGTTTTAGGAATAGCCTCTAAGCAAAAGCCCAGTTTGTGAATCATCTGGTTATTACTAAAAATTAATTATGTGCCCATCACATTTCAGATGCTGGAGGGAAGCAGAGGGCATAGATTGTTCAGCCATTCCTGCCCTGAAGGAAGGGCAGGAGGGACTGCAGTGAACTGAACACCTACTGTGTGCCAATCATTTTTCATCAATTGTTGCATTTGGTTCTCAGGACAGCAAGTACACAGAGAGATGCAGACAGAAAGGATCCAAGGTCCACACTTACCCAAGGAAGTGCCAGGATAGCATCAAGTCTCCGTTTAGCTGACTAAACAAGACTTTCCCTCTGTGTCATGCAGCCTCCGAGTTTAAGTCTAACCGAAGTCACGAGATGCATACAAGAAACAGTTTGCTCCTTGCTCATCCTTGCAGGGGCACGTGCTCCAGGGTCTCTTGACAGACCTACTAAAACTCGGCTGCCCTCAGCAGACCCCAGCCCCAAGGGGACAGTGTGGACAGCCCACCCTGGCGAGGACACACAGAGGCTCCACCACAATTTGCACATGGCAGCCTCACAGTTGGGACACATTTAGAGAGCCCAGGCTGAATTTCCCCCTCCTGCTGTCTCTAAGAGTTCCACCCTATCTGCAGGGGGCAGTCTGCTGTCCTGTCTCAGCCTTTCCGGAAGAGCCACTGAGGGTTCAACACAGGGCCAGTGGAGTTTCCTGCCCTCTTCTCTTGCGGGTCCATTTACTTCCTCAGTGTGACTGTACTGAAAGAAGGTAATTAGAGGCAGTAACGGGAGGAGTCTTTATTAAAAAACAACAACAGCAATTAAAAAAAAAAAACTTAAATATCACCCTGGCCAGTGAGGCTCAGTTGGTTAGAGCATCGCCCAATAGACTGAAAGTTTTCGAGTTCAATTCCTGGTCAGGGCACATGCCTCCGTTGGGGTTTCTGTCCTAAGTCAGGGTGCATATGGGAGGCAACTGAACTGATGGGTATTTCTCTCACATCAATGTCCCCCCCCCCCTCTCTCTCTCTCTCCCCCTCCTCCCTCTCTGGAATAAAAAATAAAAATAAATAAAATTTAAATGTCAGTAATTACATTTTTTAATTTAAAACCTTTGGTTTAAATTTTTATATGTTAATTGTTTCTATGACAGTGTATCTTAGTAATTAAAAATCCCCCTTGCATTTTTTCCCTCTGCCACATCATTTACCACTGTGTCCACAAGCCCCAGCGAGGACGCACGCACAGCCTGCCAGGCACGCACAGCTGATGCTGTACATCCGTCTTCAACAAGGGGCAAGAAACTGTAAACACAAAGGCAGCCGCTGCTCAAGCCAGATGTGCCTCTCAGTCAAGACCATCAGTGTCCTGAAGGGAGAGATGAAAGCTCATTGTGTTAGGGCTTCTGGCAACGAACGAGACACCGCCCCACATATGTTTCCTGTAGAGTAATTCTGGGCCTTCAGTGAGGAGATGGTCCCTGTGAAGTCTCTGCTTAGCAACATCCCTCGCCCTGTCATAATGCCTTTTCCTAAAGAGCCTAAGTGTGTCTTCTACGCTGTGAACATGACCTAGAGACGGCTATCATGACTTTTATTCACACAGGTGGGAGCCACTAGAGCCATGCAGAAGACGCATCACAAGGCCCTTTGGGGTTCACGTGGTTGGGGGGCAGCGGGGAGTAGACTTTATTTCTTCAAGTGGAAGTGGCAAGCTTTTAGAAGAGCGTGAGTGACTGGAAATACCGCTGGGGCTGTGACCGCTTTGGAAAATAAAGTCTGCCACCCTAGGCTCATGCCAAATCCAGTAGTCAGAGTTTCACGTACACTTTCATTTTATTCTGCCCTCTACCTCATATAAGGCAGGCATTATTCTGCCATCTTTTACATACAGGGAAGTGAAGCTTGGAGACCGTAAGTGGTCCACTGAAAATGACACGC